GTGGATGTCCCATCCCTCGAAGTGTTCAAGGCCAGGTTGGACAGGGCTTTGGGCAACCTGGTCTAGCGGAAGGTGTCCCTGCCCATGGCAGAGGGGTTGGACTGGGTGATCTTTAAGGTCCCTTCCAACCCAAACCACTCTACGATTCTGTGATTCTAAAATTATTTCCTGTATTCCTCAGTGGGATGAAACTAAGACCTTGATAGGATGAGAGGAAATGGCCTCAAGTTGCATCAGGGGAGGTTTAGATTCGGTATTAGAAAATATTTCTTCACAGAAAGAGTGGTCAAGCATTGGAACAGGGTGCCCAGAGAGGTGGTGGAGTCACCATCCTTGGAAGTGTTCAAAAAACGGGTAGACATGGCACTTTGGGACATGGTTTAGTAAGCATGGTGGTGTTGGGTTGACAGTTGGACTGATGATCTTAGAGGTCCTTTCCAACCTTAGTGATTCCTAGTTTTACTTTCATAAAAAATAATCCAGCCACCAAGCCAGGAAACATGAAATTATTATTACTCTACCCTTAACTGGTTTCGTGGTGGACTTGGTAGTGTTAGGTTAACAGTTGGACTGGATGATCTTAAAGGTCTTTTCCAACCTAAACAATTCAATGATTCTATGAAAATGTTATGGAAAAGACATGAGGACCTAGACTAGCTTGGTAGGTTGCAAGCGTTCCTGTAGGAAAGAGTTAGGTCCAAGTCAGGCCAGGCAGCGACACAACCTGGGCCTGATAGGCAAACAGCCAAACTACCACGCTAGTTCAGTGCAACGCCTTTGTATCTTCATCAGTATTTTAAACTAGTGGAAGTTCTTTTGACAGTGGAAGTGTTTTTCAAAGAGACTAACGATCACACTTCTTTATTTCCAATATATTGAAAAAATTGTAGGCTGGTGGTCAGAACTAGGCACAGACACAGTTGCTGGCTCTGACTGGTCTATGGCATTCTGTTCAGGCCTCATTTAAAGCTCAATTTCTGCATCTGCAGAAAGTGAGAATATACATCAATCAACAAGAAACTTAATTAAACATGCCCTAAGAAGTAAATGCACCCTTACCGATCTCAATTTAACGTCAAAGGACCAAAAACCACCTTCCTTTTGTGCACAGTAAAAAATCTTTTCTGTTAGATCGCTGAGATGCCAGACAGTCATTGCTGCAGCCACAAGGCTGAAAAAAAAACCCCAACCACCCAACCCCCCTCCCAAAAACCCTGTCCCAAAACTGAGCTTGGAAAAAGCCAACACACAGCAAAACTTTTAACTAGCTTCTGGCCTATTTTACTCTGGAGCGAAATGCTCTGTGCCTAGGGACAGTTTTAGTCTCTAATTTGGTGGCTGTGATGATTATGGCAGCATACTGTGAAAGGAGATGACGTATATTCATGGAATGGGAAAGTAGCGTGGGTCTGTGTCCAAGTGGTGTATCTTACATTCCCAGCGAAGTAGGTCAGTAAAACTCATCCTGTACTGAGGACATACAAAGAAGCTGTTCACTATTTACAAGTTTGCCTGGTCCTCAGATATTAATCTTACCAAATCAGTGTATTTAATACAGCAAAGATTCCTCACGAGTTAAAAGACATAGAAGTCAGGCTCTAACATTCAGGGTTCTGTAAACAACTGTGCCAGTGAGTATTTTCTGATAGCTGGTAAGCCATAGTTACATTTTTTAATTGTGTTTTTTGAATGAAAAAAAATCTTAGCTGAGGCTAACAGTGTTACTTGATGTACAGCAGTATGTTTTACCAATGTGATACTGAGAAATGAGTTTTGGTGGGATGTGTTTTTCAATGAAAATCTAAACATAGTAAATGCACAACTGAGAACTGCAACACTATTTTAAAACCGCCACTGCAGTTAACTAAAATTGATCTCTCTAACAAGTCCTAAAAATAGAAAGAAGAGAGCACACAATGACTTTTCATATTGCTCCCTGCAGGCTCCTTAAATACGGGTGAATATGACCTTCACGCAAAGCTGTCCCAGAGTGTGGGACAATGAGTGATATTTCACATTCCACTGCTCTAGAACAGGAATTGATTTATTACCCAGCTAGCTAGGGAATTTGTTTACATGTTTCCATTTATAACACTACCGCATCAAAGGAAAAAAAAAAAAAGAGGGTTTTGTTTTTCTTTCATTCAGCACTTCAGAAGCAAAGCATCAATTCTGGAAATAATAATATGCAATATAGTTTGAAGTGCTACACCTGACAGCCCTTTTCTATGGGCTTTCCTG